AAATTTACATATTTATTTCCTGAACATTGTAGAGGAATAATTCCTACAGTAATCTTACATGATAGTTAAACTAAAAGCATTCAATGGCAATATTTTGAAAACAATAGCCAGTGCTATGAAAACTGTTGGTAGCTTGTATACATTTCTCATGGCTGAGCTCTTTGTATTTTAATTTTTTTTTTTGCGTACTGACAAAACCTGGTCAGAGAGGACATCAGAAGGATCATGAAATAAATTTTGGAAAGGGTGTTTTCCATATGGTTCCCAGAAGCCAAGAAGAGCCTTTATGTGCATATGTACATAATGCCATTCTAAGAATTCCTGCAGGAATAAAGCATTGACTCTCGAATCTACTTCTAAATCAGAGTCAACACTTAGCAAATATAAATGACAGCTTTTCAAATAAATGGTCATATGGACATTGTCACGATAACAACTAAGCTTGTATTTCATGGCATAAGAATGATTTATTCTGATGGAGAGTGCTACAGCATAATGTGATTTTTAGACCTCTACATCCTGCACGATGTGGCTAATTGAACTTCCTTTTGCCTTTTTGTTATACCTAGGGAACATCCATTTCAACCAAAAAAATGCACTTATTAGTGAAAAGAAAGTATTTTAATTAATTAGATTTACTTGAGACAGTAATGGGATGTCAGACACGCACTGGCCCCAGGGCATGCAGCTGACACCACAGACACTGCTGGATCTTGAACCACAGAGATCTGAGCAATTCCCTTCAGTTCCACCACACCACACTGAGTCCTGAGATCTGCAACTTATTTTTGCTCTGCAGCATGACCTTCTGTCAGCCTTCTCTGCCTTTTCTAACAGTCGCCTCTCACTCCAAGACATGATTGTTCATGACCCAGTCTAGAAAGCCCCTTTTTTCCAGCATGTCAGGTTTTTGCAGCTTCGCTCTTGTTACCTTCTATCAGACACAGTATTTTATAAGAGCATCTCTTGTCTCAAACACTGGTGAGCCTGTTCAATTCGCTAGTCCAAATAATGAACTGGTGAAGAGTACGAACACTCAGAGGAACTATGTAACCCATGTTCGGCTGCTCTTCCATACTATGATTAACATAGTTAATTAGTCTTCGATGTTCCCATATTAGCCTAAATATGGCTTCTCTTCCACACACTATAGAAGCTTCTCTCTCCTACAGAGACTCTTTTTTTCCTCTGCATTATACATTCTTCCGTTGTGGATCTCCATTTGTATCTCTAATTCCTGACATTAACATGGATGATTTGCTCCCTCAGGGAAGCTGACATTCCTCAAGATAATTTTTTTTTATATATCACCATGATAAGAAAAACTGCACATCTCTTATTGTTACACATTGCCTTAATTTAATGTTCTTGAATCTGGGAATCCAGAATTGACATAAATATTAGCTCTGACAAGACTAGACCCCTGCCATATTATTTGCTTATAAGGAACCTCAGTGCTACAAAAAAATACACTGCAGAACCTTGAGAGGACATGCACAGACCTCAGAGAATTGCATGAAACTTAGCTAATGTCTCCAAATGCTGCAAACCAGAAGTGGTAATTTTTTGTTTATATGGCTTCACACACATCCTTTATTCCTGTCTCTCTTTTTGCTTCTACATCCAGATTTGCTTATTATTTGAGATTCATTCAAATACAGCCCCTTCACTGTGCTTGCTTCTCTTCACACTTGCTCAGATTTAATCTAGGAAAAGCTTAACCGCAATCAGTAGACTCAAGCTATTAAACATCAGTGCAGAGGCCTTTCCTGGTTTATTACCCATTAATTTTTTTCCCCAGTTTATGGAAGATGAGAAAGTGCAGTCTCTATAAATCTCTCTTTAGAGACTTCAGAAAATAGATACAAGAAAAACGAAAAAATGTAAGTTATTGTAATATGCTTATCATTGCAGGACACGAGTGGTTGAACACCACTAGACCAAAACAGAATGTCCCAAAACGGACATGTTTGGGATGGATTATCTGTGACTGAGTGCTGGCATAGAAGGAGGGAGGTATTTTCAAAGAATCATTCTGGAGACAAGTATATGGAATGAAAGTAAAAAATTTATTAGAATGAGAGAGAGAGAAAGAAAGAAGGAAAGACGGAAAAAGACAAACGTGTTTTACTTCTGTCCTACAGGCTCCATGACAGAAAATGTCACACCTTTTTGGTTGTATGGTACCAATTATTTCAGTACCTTTTAAATAATTAAATGAAGAGTTTGATCTTGGCAGCCCTGGAGTCCAACCCAGGTTTTAGGATCCCACCATAGCTTTCTTTCCCCAGTCCAAATCGGTACAAATCAGCCTATTTTCTCATCCTTTACAACAACTTTTCCAAACGTAGCTGCCATTCCACTCACTGCTGAGCAGCAGCAGTAGCAAACCCAGCTGTGCAACAGGCACAGGACTTACATGGCTCAGTAGCTAATATAGCTGGAAAAACTATTTACCCAGGGGAAAAGAATCAGGAGGAATGCCATTGTCCAACTGGCCAGATACAGGACAGAGACTGCCTAATGGACTGCTCTGTTTCGATGCAAGACACCATCATCTTCATTTTATAGTTAAAGAACTGAAGCAAAATCAAACACAGGATCTCACTGAAGAAAGGGCAAACCATTAACGTGGCATGAAACTTTGAACCAAAGGAAACCCTACAATACTCAACAAAGACAAGTGAGAGCTGGACAGGGTGAGCAGAACCTGAGGAGGTGGCCAGAGAGGTCGTCCCTGGGAGGAAGGCGGGGACAGGGCAGCTTCCTCCTCCCTGCTTGGCTAGCGATGAACCAGAGCTTCAGGAGCCCCGGGACAGGACAGATGCGGTGTCCCCATCCCTCAGAACCAGCCCAGGCAATCAGAGGGTATGGGTGCAGAAGTCATTGCAGGGAATTATGTTAAATACATACAGGATTATAGTTTGTTTGTTTTGCTTGTAGCTTCTGTTTTCCAATCCCATAAGTAAAGATTGGAAACCAAATCCCATCTTTAATCGGATTGGTCTGAAGGTCAAACCTCAAGTCACACTGGAGAAACTCCAGTCTTGTTTTATTATCAAGCCTGCCTAGCATTGTTGAGATAAATAAATCCAACAACTACTCAATCTTGCCAGGGCCTGAGGGATACCTGCTGTCCAGTTACAGAAGTCTGAGAGGGATGAAGGGACTTGTGAAGCTACATGCTGACTGTGGGGACAATACTAAATACCCAAGCATCACTGAATACCTTGAATCCCTGAATACCTTCTAGGATCTCTTCTTCAAACAAACAGACAAACACCCATGTTTCCTGGCAAAGCCGTCTTCCCTGTCTTTTACAAAGAAGCCGACATTTAGATTCACACTTAACTGTCATCACAGACATACCCTAAGTTTCTTTAATGATCCCTGTGTCAGTGACTCATACAACATCACATAGGAAGTGAGAGGCAAGGAGAGGAATTGGACACAGGTTTCCTGAAGTTGAGGATAGTTCTCTAATTACGAGGAGCTTTACAGATTAGAGCCAGAAGGCAACCTTGTGATTAGCTATTCTCTCTTCCTGCAGAACAGGGCTGTAGACACTGCCTGAATTAATTCCATTCTGAATTATCAGGAGTTGTCATATTTTTCAGTTCACAGACCCCTACAAATTTTCCAACAGTAATGCAGATTGCTGTAAAGTTTAAGCTTCCTGACAACATGCAGTTTTATCCTAGTTACCATTTGTTATTGCTGGCAGGTAATCCATTAAAACGGGCTAAAAACTCCTGAATTCAAGATATTCTGAAAGAACTGCTGAACTTGATTTAAACATTAGAAAACTCACCACAACTTTTGGCAAATGATTTTGACAGCTGATTACCTTCATTTCAATATATATGATAAAATATATACACATAGTCTTAATTTTTTTTTAACTGTAGTATCCAGCCAACATAATTTATAATTTCCATGACTTATCTGAAGTGTCCAGAATGGTGGCTATAGATGGAACATATATATTACCCCAGAGAAGAAGCTCAGATGTAAGAAGAAATAGTGTGATTTTATATATATATATATTTATGGAGAACGATAAATCATACTGGTCCTACTGCATATGTGGAAATATAACCACACACTAAAGTCTCTTGATGATGACAATGAAAGATTCAAGGTATTTCCAACTACAACTTTTTTTTATTTTAAAATTAAAAAAACTAAAAAAGTGAAAACCTAAAAATACTAACAGTCACTGCAGATAATCTCAAACTTGAACATAATTTCACAAAATACAAATGCTAATAAAAATTTGTTAATAACACTGTGAAAACAGCTAGTGTGTTACCTGCAGGATTACAGTTTTTGTAGCCTACTCTGGTAAATTCACATGGAGAACAGCTACCACATAAGCAGGTTTCTAGGGATTTTCTCAAGAATTAGTTGCAGGCCCATCATTACACATAACACATCTAAACAAACAGAAAATCATTGCTGAGGAAATGTGCAAGCTATATTACCCTGGAAATCCTTATGAGCAATGAGGGCAGATACACATGGAAGCGACTGGAGGAATGGTGCATTTTCAGCCACGGCACCATTGAATCCAGCTCTGCAGAAGGTCATTGTCCAGGAACAAAGACTGCATGCCACACTTCCAGCCCAAGGAGACGTAGCCTGGAAAGCACCGGCTGAAAACCATTCAAGGAAGGCCTCGTAGAGAGGGTTATGAACCATGTTCAAATATGCTAGGGGAGTAGGAAAGGGAGGTCAGGAGAAAGATCTAACATGGTCTTGTGATTTTCAGATGTAGAGAGAAGGGAAGTTACTCAGCTGCTGCAGAGAGCAACGGCTGCATACTGTTTCACATTCTGAAAAGGACAATGAAGACTCTGGAGAAAAGTCCATTACACCAAAAATGGTGTAAGAATGTGGAAATATTCCTTACATTTACAGACTACAGGAATTTAATTCATTCACTTCTGCAAAAGAAGTTAAAGGTGAATGCAATAAAACATACCCAAGTCATTATCCTAATGACGAAATTTCATAATCCGGTAACTGGAGAAGTGGGGAAAAGCAGCTCACCTCTTTTATGAAACAGCAGAAAAAAATACAAGCTATACAAACATATGCAACTCTAGGATTGTTTAACAGAGCAGCAGGTGTGAGAGAAGTATTCAGGGAGTATCACATAAGCTTCAGATAAAACCACAAGTGTACTTAGGCAGCTTTCACTTGGTTTAAAGCTGCAACTCTATTTAAAGCACTCTAGCCAGAGGCTGAGAGTAAGGAAACTTGTTCAATTCTTCCCATGTTTAGGTATTTGACATTTGATGCTGTTGAATTTATTTTCAAAGAACACACATAAGGAAATATATGGCTCCATTACAACTTCCCTTTCTAAAGAAAAGAACATGAAGACTAATAAGCTGTAAATGCTTAGGTTAGGAGAAGTATTAGAACCATTAGGGAGACAAAGCACCAGTATCAAATATCATTATCCCAGCATGAGAAAGATACAACAAAAATGCTTGGAGTTAAAGTCAAACAAATTTAGATTAAAAACCTTCTGGCTGTGCCTTGAAGAGAAAAACAGTGAGAATAATTATCCTCATGTTATCAGGTGAGTATTCTTTAGCATGGGTGGACTCACTGTCTCTTGCAAACATTAGATCAAAGGTGGATGCTGGTGTGGATGCTTTAGTCAAGCCTAAGTCACCGAGTTTAGCATAGGGACACCAGCATTAGCTGAAATGTTAATTGCCTGTGTAATGCAGAAGGTTACACTGCATCACCAAAAGTATGTTTGTTCTTTAAAATGTGGGAATGAGCGTGTGAACACTACCACTTGCGTACCTTTTGCTTATTCTTCTGAGAGTCCCTAAAAACAGACAAATGAAAAAATGATCATGCTGTTTCATCATCTGCTTCTTTCCTCACATGGTTACAAGAGAAAAAAAAGTGGAGAGTTTCTTAAGTAGGTCACTCTAGCATAAGCACAGAGTATGTGTAAATAAAGAGCAAAGGATCTTTATTTTAGCCTTAGCTATCTGGAAAGAAGTTTCAGTGATCAGTCCAAACACTGTTTCTGTCAGAGATGTGCCAGGAAAAACAGTAAAAATAAATTCAGTGGAAAATACAGGAACAACAACTTCCTAAGTAGGGATGTTTAGTTTTTAGAAAATACGTAATAATAAAATAAACTAATTAAATTCAATTTGTTACCTGTGGCAGAAGAAGCAAGCTAAAAAGGGATCACAGTGCAAGAACTGGGTGCAGTGCTAATGCACTCTGTGAATGTGCCTTAAATCCCCATCTTGGATGTAATAAATGCTTAAATAAGATTACTTCTGCTGAATATTCATGCTGTAATTAGTTGAATTATGGAAGATCTACCTAAAGATTTCACAAATTAAGTAAGTGGAAAGAACCAGAGGGAAGACAAAAAAGTCTAGTTTACAAGCAGGTAAAGAGGTAAAGTGGTCAAAGCTAGACAGAATCAGAGGCATCTGACCAGTGTTGACACCCTGAGCTCTGACTCCTGCATCAGAAGAAAATCGAGTTCCTTTCTTTGGGTACAAAGTACTCATACTTAATGTATATCTACATTGAAGACAACTTTTAAAATCAGATCTTTCAACCAGGAAAACGATACCCGTTAACATGCCTCCATGTTTTATTCCAGAGAGGAAGAGGGCAGTATTTGCAGAGAATTACTTTCTGACTAGTTTTATTAACAGAGTTCACGAGGGAAACAAAATAAAGCACTTTTAATCTGTACTCATTCTCCATCCCCCTCTCCCCCCACTCACTTCTTAAGGAAAGCAAACCTCCAGAGGAGGCAGACTTATTTGCTTCTTATATAGAAAAAGCCTGGCCACTTCTACAAGCATGAAGATAGATATCTGTGACCTCTTCTCCCAAGCAGGTTTTCAGCAGAGAGCTTCACAAGACTATTCACTGATTCAGTCTTTGCATCATCATTAAGCTCCTGTGCAAAATAGGACTTTGCAGGTATAACTCACTGTGACCAATACCAGTGAAGAACTGGGGCCCCTTAAATCCAAGATAATGATGGTCATAAGCTATCATATAACCGCCTTACATGTCAGAACTACTGTGGAGTTGGCTCTGCCCTGAATATGTTCACGGTTTTATTAGACCATGGCTTGTAGTTTGTTTTTTTTCCCAGTTATTAATATTTTTATTAGCCTCCACTCTAGAACATGATGAGAACACTAGTTTTGATCAATTTTGTGAAGTAGGTATGTGAAGTAGGTATGTGAAATATGTATGTGAAAGGCTGACGATGCTTTGCGGTGTTAGTTTTGCAGGTATTACACCGAAGCTAAATCCTCAGAAAGCCATACTAGATATTAGCTAATACGAAAGGTGATAAAAAACACCAGAGATGAACGAAGACACAAAACCTGTGGACAAAAGCAGAAAGGGAAGAGGACGGGAACATCCTTAGGGAGTTACACAAACACCCTAATCCAGAACAGCGTGGAGATGACTGTGCTTATCCACAGCTCTGTCGGCTTCACGAGGGCTTTAGCGAGCCGTGGGAGCCCACCCACGGACAGCCACTGCCCAGACTGGGCTCCCACCTCTGAGAGCAGCTCCAAACTTCAAAGAGCCTTTTTTTTAGTGTTTGCTGCCACCAACCGATTGCTCCAACTTTTGCTTAAATCCAAAGGGATCAGAAAGCTTTGCTCTAAACTTGCAGTGTGCTCTTAGACAGCTCAAGGCCAGTTCATTCTTGGATGTAACATGTCAAGCATGCACAACACAAATGCAAAACAGCAAGTTATTATTAGCATCTGTAAAGATTCCAGGAGCAGGTAGATTATATAAAAATATATATTGTTGTTAATGTCAATGTAGTTATCAGAACAGCAAAAAAATAAAGTTCTGTAGCTTTTTTCAATTAGAGAGCCCCAAACTTTTTGAAGCACAGAGTACAGCAGCTGACAGCCCATCTGGTCTCTTTACCCCTTTTGCTTTCTCCTAAGCCCTCTGCATAGTTTCAAACAACATATGTGGATGTTTTTACTAACACATGATGTAGAACCCTTATTTTATTTTCCTGAAAATTCTAATCATCATTTTACTGAAAGAATAAGGAAGAATCACCTATAACGTACATATTAACAAAGTATGAAAGGATTCAGCTCCAATGAACTGGACAAGAAAGAAGCATCAGTATGACAACAAAAAAAAGTGTACAAGACATCTGACAAACCTGAAACAAGAAAAATCTGTATAGCATCAGCTGTCCTGATAGCCATGGTATCATGTCCTGAAGCCTGATACATCAAATGTGAATATGTTTTGATACATTATTATACCTAGCTGGATAATGATTACTGACTTCATTTGACTAATCATGACTTCGTATAGACAGTGTTCACTCTTTCTAGGTGGACAAAAATATTCTTCCCATATCACATAATCTTACCCCCAACAGAGGGAGGAGAAATGTTCCCTGTGATCTAGTTCATATAAAATATGGCAAAATGGAATACTTTAAGTGGCAGACTTACAGCTAATTTTAGAAATTACACTGCTTAACCAATCTAGTTATTTAGAACTATCATACCCAAACATTCAGATATTAGCCAAAAACTTCCAGAGTGGATTTCAAAAAATATATGCATGAACCTATGCGAAGTTTTTTTCCAATAGAAACACCTATATATAAACTCCTAAACCACTGTTAGATATTCACGAAGGGAGTTTGGCACCAAGAACGGCTCAGGAATATTTCAGCTCCTATTAGAGATGAGCACTGAGACCCAGGGAGCTGCTCCCGCAGCACGTACCTGATGTCCGTCTAGGTGGGTTCCGTTCTACCTTTGGCTCAGCTTATATTTGTATATGGTACAAACCGGGTGTAGGTTAGAAAGCCATCAAGCATGGGCTGATGCGCCCGTATTAGAAGGACCAGTGTGACATCTGCTGGGCACTTTTTGGGAAAGCAATAAGCTGATTCCTTCTATCTTTAGCAACTCAGAAAGGTCGTGAGAAACAAAACAAAAGGAGCAAAAAAGCTAATATGAGGAACACAGAAAACAGCACAGACTATACATATGAGAAAAAATATTTACAAAAGCCACAGCCAGAGGATGAAATTTTGTCTTCACTGGTTGCTTTAAGAGTGTACTCACATATGATAAAATTTTGCCACAGGAACTGCAAATACATCTCATGTTGGCCACTTGGGGACGTGTGTTGCAATATTTGAGGAATTTCCAACACACACCCCACATAGTAACAGAAACAGTAACCAAAGCAGACACCAAGAGGAGACATCATCAGGAAAGTGATTTTTCTCCGCAGGGTGCGGCACTTCTCTTTCACTCCAGGCGTGCTGAAACTTGTGATTTCCCCAAATGCTAGAAACTCTGTTGCATCATTTCTGGTAGTTAAACAAGCACATAAAAAATACATGTTATTTTCCTGGAGTCATTTATTTGCATGCTACTGGATGAGTCACACGCAAACCAGCCCAAGTCATTTCCCCAGTAATTCTGCCAGTCTCATCGATTATGGAAATTACAGATCGGCAAACAAAGATGAATTCTGGTAGCGCTGCAGTGGTGTCAACTCAGTTCAAGCACTGAACATGCAGAGAATAAATGCTATCTACCTAGACTCTCAAGAAACCTAGGAGGCAAGAATGAGAGCCCAAATGGACATCAGGCACCTAATGGGTGACAATCAGAATTTAGACACCTGAAATGCTATTTCTACATTCTACATGCTGGTTTTCTGCCCAGAAGTACTGCCCCATGGCTGACTAACCAGCTATGAGCTTATTTCCCACCTACCACCATTTTGGTACTCAAGCAGAGCATAATTCCTAAATCTTCCAACAGGAGCACTTCGCAGAACTGAGCTCAGTGCGAAACATGGTGGGGAGAACAGCACAGTGACAATTTCTTGCATAATTAATGCATATCTAACCCCTAATGATTAGGGGTTTCACCCAGAAAGTGGCAAAAATGAGTTTTAGGCTACCGGAGAACAAGTTAGTGCTCTAAATTCCTAGCTCAAGGGAACTTTGTAAAATAACATGCTTCAGCTCACATATTAAAACAAAGCCACTGTGCAACCAAAAATTTAATCGAGAGAACAAAAAAGTGGGATCTTTTTCTTTAGCCCACAGATCATGCATTTCAGGCTTGGCCCCCTGGACTATTTGTCCATTTTTCATTAGATAGCCACAATTTTTTAAAGAAATCATTCAGAAAATAGGGAGTGGAACCAGGAATACCCTCTTGTAGCTGGATACCCACAACACTGCTTCAGAAGAATCAGGCTTCACAGCACTTTCTATCCATCTGCAACTGGGAGTTTTACAAGCTAACGCTTATCTTCCAGCCAGTACAGCTGAGTCCTACCCTATCAGAAGGTAAACTAGCATAATATATATTCTGATTTATATCAGAACATACATGCTGACGCATACGATGGTAAAAGTGCTGCACAGAGGGAATCAGATGCCTTATTGCTGAACTTGTTCTGTGCTGCAATCATTTATATGCAGTTCATTTTCATACTCTGGCTTCTGTCTGGTGAAAACAGTGCGGATCTGGATCCTGAGCCCATGTTATTCAACCAAAGGATTAAAGGAGCTTGCATGACTTGCTCTAGTTCTCATCAATCTGTTTTAAATTATCCAAGTTTTCAGTACTGAAAGTTTTGAAATAAGGTATGTGGTAAAGGAATAAAGATCAGTTGTAAAGTGATATACAAAGTAAGCAGAACTGTAAATGTCTTTGACACTGTCCTGCACGACAACCTTGTCTCTAAATTGGAGAGACATGGATTCAACAGATGGACCACTCGGTGGATAACGAATTGGCTGGATGGTCGCACTCAAAGAGTTGCGGTCAATGCCTCGATGTCCAAGTGGAGATCAGTGACGCGTGGCATTCCTCAGGGGTCGGTATGGGGAGCGGTACTGTTTAACATCTGTCGGCAACACGGACAGTGGGATTGAGTGCACCCTCAGCAAGTTTGCTGACAACACCAAGCTGTGTGGTGCGGTCGACACGCTCGAGGGAAGGGATGCCATCCAGGGGGACCCTGACAGGCTGGAGAGGTGGGCATCCCAAAAAAAGGCAATAGTACTAGCATTCTGTGTTTCTTGACTTCAGTCTTCCCACTAGAGGGATTATATATTCTTTGAGACCTGCAAAATCAGTAGCTGTTTATTCTACACAGATTTCTTACTGGTGCATTTCTAATGCAATGATCTTATTGTAACTTAAAAGGTTACCATAGCTCAGGAGCCCTTCAGAAGGCAGATGGGTACTTGTTAATCTCCTCAAACAGCCTTCCTTTGCAGCCTTCCTTTTCCTCGGATAAAAACTGAATAAACAAACGCACCAGTGCAAACAAAATGCCTACGCAACAAGCCATATAAAATACCTCACTTTGTTACATCTCTCTCCTAGCTCTTTTGTTTATGTGTGGTTGAATTTAAATAATTTTGCAAATATTAACTACTGAGTGCAGTGCTCATTACCAGTAGTCTCAGTAGAAGCACTGCAAATGGAGGATGACTAGGTATTTATGCTGAGTTCAAGTACAAAAAAAACCAAACCCAAACTTAGGAAACACGTCTACCTTTTCTATAGAGCTACAGCTGTACACTTTTAGTATCTTTATCTACCAACTGGTCTGAATCTTATCTGTTTTTTTCTCACTAAAGCAGTTAAAAATTCCTTCCTGTTATCTTTAAGCTACTGGCAATACATATATACTATTTGACATCTTGCTTATCAGTGTATAACTCTTCAAATCTTATCACTTATATTCTTTGCCACTTATTTTCAATCTTTCCAGCCTTTAATATTTTTATCACTGTACCTAGATCCTATTTTAATTAGGAAGGCTTCTTGCCCAGACATTAATATATGTACTCTAACAAGGTTCAGCACAGTGTCTCCAATAACCTACACTGCACATGATTAAGTCTCGTAAATAAAACTCTTTGACTGCCTAACAGTTTGATATCAACAGATGTTTATTCAAATACTCGTGTGAGATAGGTATTTCTTAAGCCGAAAAGCTAGCCAGATTCACTACTTTATCAGCGGCCCTGAAAAGATGGGCTTCATATATGCTATCCTGTGTGACGAAGGTATTAAATAATGATTTGTCTCTTTCATTTGGCAACTCTATTGAGTATTAAATTTCACAGAACACCACAGTACTTGTTTTCATGTTACTGGCAACTATTAACAGTATCAGTGTAATTGGTGCTGAAATAATAAAAATATATGCTATAAGGACATTGTCTGAAAACCCTGTTTACTGGATGACTTAGAAGCTGAGAAGGGTGACTCACTCTTAATGAAAAGTTTACTGTAAGTTAGCATGATTAAATTAATAAGGCCCTACACAAATTTATAAATTTCTTCAGAAATTATGCTAACAAACAGAAAATAAAATCTCATGCTTGCAGATTTCTGACAGTAGACCATTTACTCCTCGACGTCTCCCTCCGTAGATCTGTTTCAGTCACACAGACTCTAGCAAATAATTTCTCCTCCTCTTGCAACTTAATTGAATACCTCTCAACATGAGGACGTTCTAATATTTTGCAGATAAACAGTCCAGCTGAGCCCAAGCTGTGGCCATGTCAGCCGCTGCTGCTTCCTGGGGTGCTGAAGCGAGCGCAGAGTCGGCAGGATTAAAGCACGGGCTGTACCCAGGAGCTCCTCCAGCCCGGAGGAGGCTGTTGAACCCAAGCTGAGACTCCTCCAGCTGATGGCCAAAGCCAGAGCGGCCTGAGACCGAGCACCTCCAGTGGGACCCAGCACGGAAGGGCTCCCCAGCTCCAGCGGGACGCTGGCACTCCCCCCTCGCTCCAGAAGAATCTGGACCCAAGGGAAAACTGAACAGCTTATCTATTTTCTGTCTTTAGGACCAGGGATAGGCGTTCAGGCTTTGAAGAGAAAGGAGGGCATGTTTAACCTAACGATGCATCCTGCGATACCCGTGATACCTACGCACGAACTACCGAGTTTATAGGCTTTACGGCCTTTTTGCAAATCGCGAATGGGTGACTTTAAAATAATTTGACGTCAAGACAGGTGATTCGCCGCTGAACATTTTCAGCGCTGTCCGAACGCCTCAGCGGGTAACAGCGCGACGCCGACGGCCGCGCCCACCGGAGCAGCGGCCCCC